ATAATAATAATAATAATAATAATAATAATAATAATAATAATAATAATAATAATAATAATAATAATAATAATAATAATAATAAAATAATAATAATAATAATAATAATAATAATAATAATAATAATAATAATAATAATAATAATAATAATAATAATAATAATAATAATAATAATAATAATAATAATAATAATAATAATAATAATAGTAATAATAATAATAATAATAATAATCAACAATTTACATATTATCACCTCTGGATTGCCGCACTACATTAACTTCTTTAGTTTGAGGCATTTCTTTTACTTCAGTTTTTATAAAAGTTTCTACTTCTTGTTCATCGTACCTGCAAAATTATTCATTCATCAAATGGTTTACTTCATAAATTTCCATGTTTGCAATAGTTTGACACCGATTCTTATTATCATCTTTTAAATGTCACAATTTAGATTATCATTATTAACATGTTCCGAATTATCAGTTCGAAATTTTTACCTATGATATGGATAGTTATCGATGTCAGTAATGTGGAGATCTTTAGTTCCGGTAGGGAAATGCTGAGTACCAGAAGTGGTTCCCGTACTACTACCAGGTATCACATGCTGCTGTGTCCGGCTAGTTGTTGTACTACCAGGCTGCAAATTTTTCCTAAAACTGTTTGTCGAACAAATTATATGCAATGCCTAGTTCAGCATTAAACATCGAATAATACCTGTTGATGTTGTTCTATTGTAGTGAGATATTGTTGCCGTTCGTTTAATGCGGATGATTGTTGTTGAACTGTGATGCCGTATGAATGATGTTCTTGTTCCACAACGCTGGTGCCAATTCGTTGTCCATGTGAATCATAAACCTAGAGGAAAACATCAAGAGATACTTGGTATTCCGGAAATATAAGTAATCCCGGAAATATTATGTTGAAAGTGATTCGTCTATTACCTTTTCATCGTTTTACGAATTTTTTAGGTTAAAAATATTGTATTCCGAAAACTTCCCGATTATTTAGTTTACCTAGCGGATGCGAATGCATTAATTTTATGGCATGCTAAATTTCCCGAATTTTGAATAATTTCAGGTAATATAGCTTCAGAAACAAATTTTAACATTATTATGTTCCATACATTTATCATAGCAAAACTTCCCGAAAATTTCCTCTTGAAATAGCTGCTGTTATAAACATACCGCAGGTGTTGTTGATGTGTGTTGTACCGTCGTAATTCCTGACGTTTCTGTGACAGGTTTACTCTTGTCGCTTAGTGATTGCTTAAAAAAATTCAGTTATTAGCTCATTTATTAGCACTTAGTCCTTTCTCTGTTTATTGGATTATTCGTTTAACCATCTTTTCAAGAGTATCGGTTATATTTTATTCGATTATTTGAGAAAGACAATTAGTTCAAACGTTACAAATCCTTAAACTACAAAGACTAATGACAAATGAATTGTTATTATTATTTAACTATTCTTCCGGAATATAAATTGTATTTTATTTGATTGTTTTAGCAAGATATTACATTAATTAATGAATCGAATGGGACAAAAATGAAATATGACATCAGCGGTTACCTGTGAAACATTTTTGATAGTGACTGTTGCTGTCTTTGCTGATGTCATATCATGGTTATCATATGCTTCAAAACTATCTATAAAATTAAAATAATTTATCGAAATTTTCACTTCACTTTCTTGGTTTGTTTCCGGAAGCTTTATTAACCAATAAAAATATTATTCAAGTTTTCCAGTGATCCTTGATTATCGTAATGCTTATCATTCGGAGTGATTTGATTACCGTAATGACTACTACCTTCAATAATTTAATTATTCCAGTGACTATTACAATAATTACTAATAAGGAAATCATTAAATTCTTCTAGTTATACATTATGTTGGCAAAAAGAAAAATGGAAGCAAATATAATTACGATAAAGTACCACGTGGATCATATATAGGCCTTGTTGCACTGCTTATTGTTTCACGAAATTGATTGGCGTTATTTTGAACGATACGTTGATCCACACCTTTACCTGCCGAATTTCCTATTGGATCATAGTAAAAGTCGAACTGTAATGATAAAATACCATTTCAACAAAATGGATTAATTACATGGCGATTAATAAGGAACAATAGTAATGAATGATGCGAAAATTATTGGTTAATAAGTCAACTTGATGTACAGATATAATTTGTTGCATATAAATTTTTTTTTTCATGTGACTATATATATAATTTGTTTTTATTAACAAAGTATGCAAAAATTAATTTTACCTGTACAGTCAAATTACCCGTGATCATATCATTCCTATACGGTCGTCCTTGTAATTTTAACGTATGCAAAACATTAGCGCTGGAATGTCGTACTTCTTCCAAGCTAACAATTGCAAGCCCTAAGAATCGATCATCTTCAACCTTGTTTTGCGCAGAATATTCGACAAGCCCAGTAGGAGCAATAATCGAGGTATCACTACTACCTTCGTATATCTCAAACAGAATCTCCTCGGATGCTGATGTCAAATCACTGTAAAATCATCGTTTTTCTTTGAATATTTAAATTTGGATCAAAATTTTCTTGCATATTTGAAATGAAATTTTTCTAAAAAAAAAAAACACTGCTTTGATTAGAAAGAAAACGTTCACTTTTGTTTAGTAATGTCTTTCAAATATTTTCAAAAAAAAAAAACTAGTGAGAATAATATAGCTTTTGAAGCTTGAAATTTCAGATTAATTCCAAATGTATTTCATCAATTTCAGATCTTTCCCGAAAAACTAATCAGTTGTGGAGATGATGACAATGTGTAACTCTTACAAATCAAATGATTCTTCCCAATATGGACTGATATTAAGACCACGTTTTGTTTGAAATTTTTGTGCCGGTTCATCCATTTCCAGTACAACATACGGCTGGTTTACTGCTTAAAAAAAAAAAAAAGAAAAAAAAAAAGAAAACTACTCCTTTAATTAATAACTTCCATACCATGATAAATATATTTCTTTATAACTTGGAAAATGTTCTCAAAAAATGTTGGGGAAAGAGAATTTAGAGACATTAGCCAGGAAGTGTAAAACTGTTATTTGACCAAAGACCAAAAAAGGAAGGTAAGGTTAATAAATTTTTTTTGAAGCTTTTTTTGTTAATTTTGGAATTTATTAAAAACTTTCCAACAATATTCACGTGCAAAAATTTAAAACAACTTTGTTAATTAATTTGTATATACACTTCCATGTGCTTTTTTTCCTTCCTTCTGAAATAACAATTGTTTTGTTTGTAATACATAACTATCTAAAACAGGGATAAATAATCAAATTAGAAGAAATTCAACGTTTTCCTCAATGCAAATAGATGAAAAATTCCTACTACGATCACCGCCAAGTTGTTGCGCTCGAATAACTTTTACATGCATTTTATTCGGTTTTGTTTGCAGTTTAGTACTGTGATTCGTTAATTGTATCTGAAAAACTACCACAAAAGTTATTTGGACCTCAAAATTGTAAAGTCTAGAAACTTTACAAGTTTGCTCCTCTCTCCCTTTTGCTGCATGCATACCTCATACCATAAAATGTTTTTTCTCTCTCTCTGTTTTTTCTTTTTTTACATTTTTTATTTAAGTCTCCTTCTTCTT